CCCCGGAGCTCATCCAAGGGCTTTTCAACGTGCCGTCCTTTGCACACATCAGCACGGAGGCTGTGAGTAGAGTCCCTTTTTTCAGAACTTATGATTTAGTAAGACCAGACTGCTAATCAGAGAAGCAAGTGTGGTGGATTTTCATCATTCAACTAAAAGCAGAAACAGATGACCAGCAGAAGGTGTCAAGATACCAGAAGTGTCTTAACATACATAAAACTTTAATAAGCTTTTTACACTCTGAACGCTTATGGGGGAAAGCTTTCACAACATTTTTAAACCTTCTTAAACTTTCACTGTTGCAGGTACTAAAGTCCTATTGAATGTGTATTGCTAAAATTGGAACAAAACACTTTGCAATAGTTAAAGTTTCTCCTGATAATGAATGTTCATTATGATGATTTTAAACTGAAGAACAGCTTAGACAGATGAGTCTTTAAGATGAGACAGGTGAGAGACATATTTTTGTGAAGGAGCTGGCATTTCCCAGTTCAGAATGAAATCCACAGTAACTTGCATCATAAGTATCAGCAGCTAGTCCTGTGTGACTTCGTAAGAGATGTGACCGGAAGGTAACAACCTGCCATGCCTTTGTTCTAACAGACATCACTGCCTGACCTGGACAATCCATTTTCTAAGAAGCTTAAGTCAATAGTGGAGCACATCCAGAGCCAAAAGCCCTACACTATGAAGGTAAGGCTTCTCTCTGCCTCAACTCATTCCTCATATCCATTCAAAAGCACACTACTGGCTTGGACAAAACTTACTGGTAGCTGTAAAAGGTTTTACGTATCAGGAATTTTCCTGTACGTCAGGGGTTTCCAGCATGCATTGTCTGCACAAGCATCTCAAAGGTGCTTAATTCTTCATCGAAACAGATTTTCAGAGGTAGTCAATTCTAAAGGTTACCATTTTATTCTGCAAACCTTAATTCACACTAGTCTCTCTCCCCTGTGTTCATAAATACAGCTACTGAAATGTGGAGGTTTGGTTTGGGTGTGTCCGTCCCCCCCCCAACAGCATACAGTAGTAAGATACAGGAAAACCGTACTGCCACCGAGTATGCCTGTATCCTAAAAATCTCTTCTCTTTTCAGCTGATTATAGTGAAACAACGGGAGCAGCCAGAGATGCTTTTCCGACAGTTCCTAGTAGAAGACAAGAGTATTTATGGAGGAGCTTCTTACGTGGATTTCTTATGCTGCGTTCACAAAGAGATCTGCCAGCTGCTCAGTTAAGGAAACGCAAGTATAATGTGTCGAGTTTCTTTTTGATTTTGCAAGAGGGACAGTCAGTGGTGCCTGAAGGCTGGCCCACAGCTCCACCGTACCTGGGCATTCTGCTGTGCTTTACTGAACCTTTTCTGTGCTCTTTTTGTACAGTTTCATTTCCCACAACCTCTCGCTGAGTATTTAGCTTACTTATTAAGTGGTAGAATAGGAAGTTCTGCACTCAGGTATTCATCTTCTAGGAGTCCCGACTCCTCCTCTAAGTGAGTGAACTGCCAGATTTCAGACTGTCAATGCTTAAGAGCATATGGTATGCATTTATTAAAATACAATTTAGAAAACTCTTTAATTATTCCTTTTGCTAGTCATAAGTTGTACGAGAGCCAGGAAAGAGGCTAAAAATCTATACAGAAGAGGAAAAAAAAAACCATAACACTGCTTTTTCTAAGTGAGGGCATACAATTGAATCAGATTTGTAGTAATCAGGTAGCTCAAAGTCCTTCATTTACATGAATCTTTTAAAAAAAAAAAAAAAAATCTAGAAAATAAGCCCCTTTTTCCTGGAGGGGACAAGCATTACTAGCTAGAGAAACAGAGCTCTGGGTAACCTTCCACACGTGGGGTTATCCAGGACACAAAAATGCCTCAGTTTATAACTGGACGTAAGGTTAACAACAGCGGACCACGGGAGGAACAGTAATCAAACGATCCTTTCGCTAAGTTTGGCAGATAATGCCACACCATTACAGTGCAATTCTCTAGTCCTAAGGGCAGCAATTTACTGTAGCATACTATTTAATTACATTTTCAAAATTGAACGTTAGGTTTATAAATAATAAATTTAGTACGTACATTTGCTAACTGAAATATTCCCAATGCAACATAGATAAATGTCTGTCCCTCAAAATTTCAGTGGCAGGTCAACAGTAAGACAGTTGACACATTAACCAAAGGTTATTTGTGGTGCTATAAAAAGAAAGCCTCTTGTTTAACACCAGTTCTATTACAGTGACCTCTTCTCACATGACTGATTTATTCAACAGTCACCACTTTGAAAAATAAGCCTTGTCTAATATCTAAGGTAGAATTTAGAGAACCAGAGCATTTGGAAGAGCTGTTTACCTCAGATACTTCATCTTTAGGACCAATGCCTCTCTGCATGTGAGGGTTGAACTTTTCCAAACGTGAAAAGCTATTGTTACAAAAATCAGTGTTTCAAAGCAAGCAAAAAAACCCTCAAAAGTAAAGATAAGAGTTGGGCCTCCTAAAAAAAAAAAAAAAAAAAAGTGCCTTTGAACATGTTAGTGTCACTACTTAGTGTTAATCATTTTAATATCCCAGATAAGCAGTCAAGATGCATATTTTTTGGTTTGACAGCTTATCAAAACAGTTGTATCCTGATACACTGAGAGCTCTTAAAGTAAATGGTTGTATTACAAAAGGATCCTCGGACTGAATTCAGCTGCCAAGACAAGCACTTTCTAGCTGAAGACATTACCCTGTAAAAAGTATTTGTTACCATTCCAAATCAGTGTACTTTGTAAAATGACACCAGCAACTCTTTGTGTAAAGACATAAGCAATTATTAAATATAATAATCATGTGTGTGCTCATTCTTTCATATACTAAGTTCTCTAAGCTTTTTATGCTATCAGCCTCTGCCAAATGCTATCCAACACCTCTTAAACAGGAGCACCTAAAACTAGTACCTGGGGTCACTACAGAGGGTGGAAACTGCCTTCAGGGTTTGTGCAACTCCTCCCCCTGCCTTTCCCTGTAAGCACAGCAAGAGAAAGAAGTTTGTTACGCTGACTTCAGGAGCCAGGGAACATGGCAAAGTTAAATTAGCAACAATAATTCCTACACAGCATAATAAACAATGCCATGCATCCAACAGTTAGTAAAGACCACTGTGGGTCACCTCCTACCAGAGTAAAAACACTTTAAATACAGGCAACCTCATCTGGCATTACAGAATTTTCAGTGTGTTTCCACTGTTAGCATCACCTGTTATGGTAAGGAGACCTGGTCAAACTAGGTCTCAAATGTGCCAAAACAGCCTGGCAAGTAGACTGTTTTAGAAAAAAATCACTTACCAGGTGAGTCAGGAAATGGGAAGATGCAGCAATTCTCACCTAAAGGCAGTGTAATTAGGGAAAGGCTTGTGCTCAACTGCAACAAATGCGTTTCCCCTCAGGAAGCTGGCGAGCTGCTCCCCCAGACAGCTCCTGCCTCAGCCATGCTTGCGCGTTTCCTTACCTTATTCCGTGGAGTTTGCCGATAGCCAGAAGACCACATCTGCACCACAGCCACGCGCATCTGCTGCTTGGTCAGCTCAGGCCACACAGCAACACTGACCAACTGCTTTAGGGGAACCTGTTTTACACCGAGAATTCCAGCCAAAGCATATGTGTCACTCACCTGTGCACCAGCAAAGCCTGCGGAGAGCAGGATTTCAGGCACAGAGGCACTACTCAGAACAAAGCTGTAGCAAGACAAAGCTATTTATACTTGCACAGCTCATGCATCAGCGCTCTAGCCTTTTTACCTCTATTAAGACATCCTGATGGCTAAACTAGCACCAAGATACAGTCACACCTTGATACAGCAGCTCCTGCAGCAATCATAAAAGTTACCAGCAGACATATTTCAAGTGCAGTTCTTCTCTCTCTCTAGCATAAACGGCAGGACTGTAATATTCAACTCAGCTTTACAGCAGTTAGAGATTTTCTTTTTCCTTTTCAATTGCTGCAATAATTCTACTCAAAATTACTTCATGTTTTGGCACCCACTAGCCTACGCAGCACATCCAGCATTCCAACCGGCAGCAGTAGACAGTGGAAGGAATTCTCAGGCCAATGGCTGGACTTCCACACACTGATTTAGAGTTGACCAATATCTTAAAATCCCTTTGAAGCGCAACGCTAAGACATCCCAAGGATCTTGTCAGTGTAACTGCAAATTCATATAGGGTGTGAGATATTCAAAGTACTATAAGCCTCCTCCAGAATGGAAAACATGACAAGATGTAGACAGGCATCCCAAATCAGATTGGTGGCATTATGCATTTAATAAAATTGGAAAGGAAGAAACTTGTTAGGCTTTTTTATCTTCAAGGATAGCAGGCTCAAATTAAGTCTTCATTTACTTGTGGTAAATGAAATATTCATCAGTTCACTGATTATGAGCATTAGCCTCCTTCTGTTAAAGCATTTCAACTGAGAAATTAACTGACAACTGGAAATGAAATTAAAAGCTTTTCATCTCTGGACACCACTTTAGACAGGGTCCAAATCAACAGTGATTAAAAAAAGATGACCAGATGTTTTTTTTCCTGCGTAACTGGGGGGGGGGGGGGGGGGACGGTGTTTTACTACATACAGTATTTTCTAAGTAAGTGTCTTCTCCATAACCACAAGTACGTGACACCAAGCCTTTGGGTACACGCACCCATGCACTACTGCCTTACCTGTACAGGCAGTCTGTTGCTGTTGAAACACCACCTTCAGCTCACGACCGGCAGGTATCGTTCTTCATGGAGGACATGTAGAAAGTTCTATTTCCTTGTCCATTAACCTCAACTGAAAAAGCACGGTCAGTTGCTTGTTGACCAGACCCTATAAAAATTTCTGTGCTAAGATTATGTGCACCAAAAGAACAGTTACTGCTTCCTCTTTTACAACAGTAGGGAGGAAACCACAGTAAAACGTAGCAATTCCAAAACCTCAAGAAGAAACCCACAAAATATTAAGAAAAATATTTCAACATTAGCTTGATAAACAAGTTTAATAATCTGCTACTTTACAGGACAGTTATTTAAAAGCTAAGCTTCAGGGGAGAAACATTATGAGACTTAAAAGCCAATTTTCCAAAATCCATACCTAAGACTTTGACAGCCAGGTTTGTTCAGCCCACCAAGTATTGACCAAGAAGTTCAGAGTTGTGGTTTTGCTAAAAACAAATACAGCACATACCAAAGCGAATCGCTTTCATTTCACACTGTACTCTGGAGCAGATCACCAACAGCCTATTTCCAACGCACCTAACGTCCACAGGCAAAGCAACACACTCGGTTCGATTACCCAGGCGATTAGTTTCAGGAAGCACCCACAGCATCGCCTCACATTTCCAATACGACCTACAACAAGGTATTTCTACTACTTATTGCAGAGCAATTGCAATGTAAAACCAGTTTTCCTTACCAAAGAGCAGGGTATTATGAACAGACGCTGGGTGAAAATCCCTACTCAAGAAGCAATCCAGAGCTACGCAGGAGTTCTGGACTGCATGTAACGCACAACTTCTTGCCTTCCATGAAGCACAACACACGACTGCACAGAATTACCACTCCCCCCACTACAGACATGAAAAGTGAGTGCATACACACCACAAATGAAAACCAAACTTGTTCCCTATTCCCGGGAATAATTCGGGAAATTTAAACCAAATAAGAAAAAATAGAATTCTATTTATTCAATTTGCTCCTTGGTTTCAGAGAAGTTAAAATAGATGTCGATATAGACACGGCACTTTTCTTTCCATGAATAAGAGAGTAACTCTGCTATGACCATGCAACTCAGAACTGCATTTCATGCCCATGCCATCACATTAATCCAAGTCAGTCCAAACCTGAACCTCCAAAGAAGGAAGAGGAACCCGTGTTTTGGAGAAAATGACAGTTAAAAAAAGCCCGCACCTTGCAAGTTTGGTAAGGGGAGAGCAAGTGTCTTCACTTCAGTCCTAGCTGCGGTTTGAAGAGATGGTGCGCTCTGCTTTGACAAAGAGCAGCTGTCGGGAGGCTGTTCCGTGCTGTCAGGGGCAGGACCCCACCTGCCCGGTGAGGTGATGTGCCAGGCCGGTCACCGGAAGGCAGACTATCTGTAACCACTTGCACCAAAACCAATTTTAAAAGTCATCTAGCTTGAGTCCCCAGAATAACTGACTTTAGCAAAAACAAGACTAAGAAAAAGATTCAGAGATGAGGCATAGGACCGGGGGAAGAAGCCGTTACCTAACAGTCATCAGCGGGTGGGGAAGCCTCCTCTATGGGTGCCTCCACGTCCCCCTCTGAAGCCACCCCTCTCACCCCGGAAGTTAGTTCTGTTCCTCTCTCTGCCCCTTTCTCCTCGGCCCGCTGAAGTCCCTCCTCTTCCTCCTCCCCTTGGAGCACCACCTCCCCGGTCAGACTTGGACTTGGGTGGCGGTGACTTGGGCCGAAGTCTCTCAATCTCTTCGGTACAGCCGGTCAGGTGGGAATTTGGAGCTGTGAAGTATGAAGAATACGTTTCTGCATTGAAATTGCTGTTTGTGAGGGTGGGTCCTACAGTCAGCCAACCTAGGGAAAAAAACCAGAGTCAACAAAAGCAAGAACAAACTCCGTGCTTCCAGGCCATTATTGCTTTTTTGCTGGTAAATGAACAGTCAAGTGATGGGGACAGACACTTATCTACACGTCACCTGTATTGAACAGAACGAAGAGGTCACCTCTAGGAAAGCCAGAGCTGTTGAAAAGTTAAGATTTTAGTTTGATATTTCTATGGGCTTCTTTTTTTTTTTTTTTTTTTTTAGATTATGTATGTCTATGAGAACATTCAAGCTGTGGTTTCACAAGACCCCTTCCTCCTCCTTCCTACTACTTCTTACACCACAACAATGTTTTCCAGCCCCTCTGGCACCAGACTGTAAACCAGATCAGTAAATTCATCTAGTTTAAAAATAACATCCTCCTCCTCCTCTTCTCCCCTTTTTCAAAGATATTTAAACTTGAATTAGGTAATTTTGTCTCCAGAAACCAGTTGTGACAGTGCAGCCAAGAGCACAGCATGCTGGAAGCACACATCTGAAAACACAATAAAATAACAATTCTGTTGAAGCCCACATGATAGGAAAATAGAGCTTAAAGACTTAAATTAACCTGTTTATGCAGAAACATTCAGTGGGCACTTCAGCTTCACCAAGTGAATCGACGCAGGCAGACATTTGAAACAAGCATGTTCCAATCTCTTCATATTATGAGCTAAAGTAGCCTTTGGACCTAAAATGGGGCTCTTAAAATGGGGCTCAGACCACTTAAAAATGTCAGTGGAAATTTAATTTTCAGTTGTATCATATATTAATGAAGAAAGATGTAGTTCCGTGATCTCAACAACGTGCTTATAAGGAAAACAAGAATAAAAAAAACCCCAAGATCGGTTCTTCAACACTGTTCTCTTTACCCTGTTTTTATGTAACATTTACCTAAAAAAAAAAAAAAGAAGGGGGGGAGGAAGAGTCTATTTGTTTAGGTTTTCATACTTCACAGAGCACTGTGAGGATTCACAAACACTAACTCTAAACTCAAAGTGCTCATTGACAAAAACACTGTGCTCTGCCAATTTCCTGAACAAAGAATAAATGGAAAAAGGTGTTCCCTACTGCTGTGATGAGCATAGGATTTAAAGTATGCAATTCCAGGGTAACCACCAAATTTAAAAATACAAAAGTTGTATCAGACTAAGATGACCCTGTGGGACACGAACATAGAAGAATTCACCTACAGCAGCACTGAATTAATAATACCTGAACGACATCTTTCCGCAAAACAGAACAGCCCCCCTCCACACACACACCAGTAAACAACAGAATTAAGACTGACATAATCATTAAAATTCCAGCCAAAGGCCAAAGACTAGGAATGGCCAAGAATCATTACTCTGTAGCCGTATGAGCAAGAGGGAACCATCACCTTGAAATTTATATAGGTAACTTACTGCTTGCAGCATGTATACTGATACACATCCTATTCCAACTGCAGTAAAAGAATAAGCAACGTTTTTTTATATCGTTAAGTATTAGCATTCCCATGCAGCAAACGAGGCCTTGTATCCATTTTTCCTCTGTCATCCAAACTATTAACCTCTCTTTAGAGGAAAAC